AACTATAAATTAGGAGTTTCGACTTAATTATGAGTTCATGCCCTGCGACCTCCTTCTAAATATCAAAGGATATCCCTGGGCTCAGATGATTTTTGGAGTTTATTTTTTCTAAGTATGAAACTTAGATACTAACACACTTTTTAGACAGAATGGTGGGTCCTCTTCCCTCCTGTGTAACTGTTCCTCTTGCATAGAGTAACAGTTTGATCGTGAAGCCCAAGGCCGCAGTTCTTTATTAATACTTCTGTAGGATCAATAATATCCTCTAAAAAGTGATTTTTAAAAAAAAAACAATTATGTGATTGTATTTAGTAATTTCACCTAGTTACAGTGGCTTTCTGTGAGCAAATTCGGAGTTTAAAGAAGACAGGCCGGTTGTAAATGCTAGTCAGAGTGGTCCAGAAAGTTACTTTGCCTGTGATACATCCAATGGCGCCTGCGAATTGGTTATGGAGAGAGAAAGAGAGGGGCTTGGGGATCCTGAGAGCATCCGACGGGATAATGTGATTGGCTCACTCCATGCGGAGAGGACAGCTGTAATGTTTATCGGCTGGGATTTCTCTTATGACTGAGAAGTTGGGAGGGGACCCAGGGCCTCTTTGCGGTGCTGGGAAGGGCATCATGGCAGCCGCTGGCATAGGTCGAGCGTGCCCAAGTCTGGATGTTAGGCCTCAAGCTCTCAAAGAGACTGGTGTCTTGTTTTTGTTTCCCTGTCTTAGTTTCCTCACCTACCTCAGGTGCTAATTTGACTCCTTTGCCTTTCCGCCTTCTCCTCTACCTGCCTCTGTCTTCACCAAGGCTCCTTGTTGTCTGGCTTCCCGGCCCTTCCTAGCTTGAAAGGCTGTCCTTACCCTGATGGTTTCTCAGATGAGTGCCTCCAGGCGGGAACCCTCCTACTTAAACCACAGCTGCCTGCTTGAAGGCTTTATTTGCGCGGCCATGTGTGTTAGTCACCTGTCTGCTGCTCTGGTGGATAGCTGAGGTAATCTACTTGGGCGGAGGAATGCTTCTTGATTTCTGTCCTTGGTCACTTTGACCCTGTTCTTTGGGCCCCCCCAAAGGCACAGACACCCTGGTGGGAAGCTGTGGAGAAGGTCTGTTTTCCTCAGGGTGGACTAGGAAGCAGAGAGGTGGGGTGGGGATGGGGAGAGAGGGAAAGGACCTGGGGGTCTCAATAGCCCCCTTCAAGGTCGTGCCTTCAGTGACCTACCTCTGTTCTTTTAAACCCCATCATTTGGGGTTCCATCATTTCTCAAGGGTGCCACGGGCTAGCTACCAAGCCTTTGACACGTGGGCTTTGGGGGAACTCTTCTAAACGGCAGTAGTGGGACATCTTGTGGTAATCTGAACTCTTGACCCTGTTTTCCAGGCCTCCTGCCTTTGCCCTCCCACCCGGCTGGTAACTATGGCGTCTGTCCTCTTTGCTCAGTCCTTCCTGCCTCTCTCCTTCAGTTCACCAGAGAACCTTGCGACGGGCGTGGTTTGACCACTCCTCTCCACCTCTGGCATCCGTCGTAATGGTTCAAGCTCCCTGGCTTCTCCCCTGTCTTAGGGTAGCAGCCTCGGATTGGGGATACCCTCCCCTCCACTTGTGCCATGCTGCCCACATCTCCCAACACGGATTCCAGAGAGACTCCTTCCGCAGTCAGCGACCACGCGGGCCGTGCTCCAGATCCTCCCGCCGTTTCTCATTTTATTAGGAGTAAGACCTAAGGCCATAAAATGTGGTTGAGTAAATATAAAAATGGTAAGAAAATGGACAAATTAACCGCAGAGAATTCTCGGTTGTAGGCTACGTCCTCCACCCGAGGAACTGTGGCTACCTTTTGGTCTCCTTCCAGAGAGGATCATACCAGAAAAGCGGGTCAGGGAGAGAACGGACACATCTCAGAAGAGGTGGGGACGAGGTCAGTGTCAGCAGCACTGGGAGGTCATGTGTGTCACTTGTATGATGTGTGGAAGATGACGCTGGTCCTCTTCGTGACAACCCCAATCTAATCATAAAATGTGACCAATTCCAGTGCACGGCGATGCTGGTTCCTTCGCCTCCTGCCCTCGTGAGACGCTAGTGCGGAAACTCTGGAAATACTCTCTAAATCTAAGATGATTTCACAGTAAATCTCTTGGTGATTTTTTTTCCCCCTCTCCCTGTCTCTGTCACTGCTCCGCTGGGCTCCAGCCCCAGGGCTCTCTCAGCTGTTTTCCCGTTCCACGGTGTCTTACGGAACCCAGGCGTTACTTCCCAAAAATCTCACTCATGCTAAGCTTGAGAAATACATTTGGAAATGACTTTCCCCAGGCTCATGTGCAGCCTCTTGCTGTGGGCTTCTTCTGAAGCCCTTACCCATCATCCACTGGGCTCTTTTTCTCTTCACGGCCTATTTGTCTTAGCAGCGAGGCATCATCTATCAGGTGTGGGAAGTTGGGTTCACTTTCACTTGCCCAGTGCTGTCCCTGAGTCTCAGGAGGTGGCCATTAAATATTTGTTGATGGACTTGACTTATATAATTAAAAGAGCAAGCAGATGATAAGGAAAATTAAACTAAAAATTAATACAGTACAGGATAAACGAATACATCCCCTTTCTGCTTATTCCTCCCCCCCCCCCAGATGTTACCATTGTGAGTTTTGTCAAGAATTTGTGAGATTCTGTCAAGAATTTTTCCCAGTTTGAAGCATGTTCATGTATATACACAGTTTTTCTTCCCTCCTTTGGCAAACATGAATGGGATCAGTTAAGTTTTGCTAGTCCATATCTCTACATACCTATCGGTATGTTAAATACCACCTTATTTTTGATGTAGTATTTATTTATACAACTAAGCAAACACTGAAGTGGTTACAGTGGAATCTTGATGTAATTGTTCTTCGTGAAGTAGAGCATACTAGCATTGTCTCCTAAAACATGCTAGCCTCATTTCTGTAGAATATCTTTCTTTTTATAGTCTCTAAAACACTTTCCTAACACGTACTTTTATATTCCTAGTGTTTGGATTATGACCTCTGCCTTTCTTAATCTTTACGTCCTGAAAGTGCTGGTATTGGGTAGCGTGACCTTGACGCCTGCAGTTGAGCTGATTGGAATTTCTCTTTTTGTCTTGTTAAAATTACAGGGTTGTTTTTTTTTTTTTTAATAAAAATTTAAGTTCCTCCAAATATTAGAAGTGGTGAGCACATTGAGGTTTTTGTAGAGGTCGTTTTGGGGGAGGCTTTGGTTCTGTTCAGTCGTCCTCATTCCCCTGGAGGTCAGAGATGGGTGTGGTGTCCTGACTTGTCTGCTGAGGAGGAGGTGTGACGGTTCTACAGCAGGTGAGGGTGCCCAATGTGAACTCGATTCAGGATCAATTAAGCTGCTAATTGCTTTAGGCATCTCACTTCTCTCCTTTCCCCCTCTGGTACAGTGACGAATGGGGCAGGTTGGCAGAGGCTGAGTTAAGAGACTGTAAATTCATGTTGCCATACTAATTTTGCTGGGCTGTCAAGCCAGCCCTCCAGTCTGCCGTTCCTTTCACCTTAGCTAGCACTTAACAATTTATGCATATTCATTTAAGGGTTACTTTGCAAGGGTGCCTTTTGGCGATGTGCTGTCGGCGCTGGGGGTTTGTGAAGATGCATTGATTTTTTTTTTTTTCCCCTGGATGAATTTGTTGCTATGGCAAAGAACAGCTGGTCGGGAGAAACTCCGTTCTCTGGGCAGCTCTCAGCCCCTTGAACCTGGCCTACCTTCCCACTTGTTGAAGGCCACCTCTTGTTCAGGCTCCCTCTTGCCCTCCCCAGTCACCCTTTGCCCTTCCGGAAGTTCTGCCTCCTTTTCCCCCTGGAGTCGATGCTCGGATGATTTAGTTTTTTTTGTGTATTCAGAATTCGTCTTTGACAGGGGACCCCTGGGTAACAGGTTGTTCAGGGTTTTGAACAAGGGGTATTGGCGGCAGGGATGCTAAAATGGCAGTGCTCAGGGTGAGATTTGCTTCTTTGCCCTAGGAAGAGCAGTCACCTGTTCAAGTTTTCATTCATATTACGAAGTGACCTTTTACTGTGTGCTCACATTAGTGTTTAGAAATTACTTGGGCACAGATTTGATGGTAGTGATTACTGTAATTCCTTCAAATAGTTTTATAGAACTAAACGAGACAGTAAAGACAGGCTGTAGGGAGTGAACTTAATTATTTTTATGAAGAGATAACTTGAGGATAAATTTTGAAATGAGATTGGAAGGTATGATTATACCGGAGCCTGTAAAAGCACCGTTTTGGACTTTTTCTTAGAAGCTTTGCATGTTCGCAGTACTGTGTTAGCGCAAGTCTGTAAGCTTCCCTGGCTTGGTGGCACATGTTTGTCATTCTAGCCATGTGAGATGGAGGCAAGAGGACCAGGAGTTCAAGTCCATTCTCGACTACATAATGAGTTTGAGGCCAGCCTGAGTTACATGAAACCCTGTCCCAAAGAATCTCCCACCCCCACCCCATGAAAATAAGTTCATAAGATTTTAAGAATGTAATTCCTGCTGTGTAAGAGATGATATAAGTACCCATTGCCTGTCTTTTCGAAAACTGATGTTTTTATTTGCTCTGAAGACTTAAGTATCTCAATAAAACCCAGGGCTAGAGAGATGGGGCAATGGTTAGGAGCACTGTTCTTGCAGAGGACTTGGGTTCTTGGGTTCAAATCCTAACACCTACATAGCAGCCGACAACCAACTGTAACTCCATTTCCAGGGGATCTGACATGGTCTTCTTTAGGCACTGCCTGTCTGTGCACAGATAACACACCTCTTCACAAGCTTACACTCCTATACACATGGAAGCAATAATAACAAGAAACAGATTGCTGTCAGGCGTATTTCTACACTTGTTAGGGTGTTGATGTTTATACTGGAAAGCATTTACTCATATTCTGTGTAGGTGGGAGATGCTTCCTTACATGTGTAAGGCTTAAGGGTAACTTGTGTGTTACTCTTGTTTTATTTCCCCAAGTAACACTTCTTACTTCTCCTGTTACAGGTGGCCAAGAATTAAACCATGGGGAGACCCTCGGCCTTGCCTCTGCTTCTGCTCCTCTTTCTCCAGCATTTTGGAGACGGTGACGGAAGCCACAGACTTGAACCGACCCCTTCTCTACAGTTTACACACTTGCAGTACAACGTCACTGTGCATGAAAACTCTGCCGCGAAAACCTACGTGGGCCACCCTAGAAAGATGGGCATCTACATCTCAGACCCCTCGTGGGACATACGGTACAAAATCATCTCAGGGGACAGCGAAAACCTGTTCAAAGCTGAGGAGTACGTTCTTGGAGACTTTTGCTTTCTAAGAATAAGGACCAAAGGAGGAAATACAGCTATCCTGAATCGAGAAGTGAGAGACCATTACACACTGATAATCAAAGCGGTTGAAAGGAACACCAATGCTGAGGCCCGAGCCAAGGTCAGGGTGCAAGTGCTGGATACAAACGACCTACGGCCGCTATTCTCGCCCACCTCTTACAGCGTATCTCTGCCTGAAAACACAGCCATAAGGACCAGTATTGCGAGGGTTAGTGCCACGGATGCGGATATCGGAACCAACGGGGAATTTTACTACAGTTTCAAAGACCGAACCGACATGTTTGCCATCCACCCAACGAGCGGCGTGGTCGTCTTGACTGGCAGGCTCGATTTCCTAGAGACCCGGCTCTATGAGCTGGAGATCCTGGCTGTGGACCGGGGCATGAAATTGTACGGCAGCAGTGGGATCAGCAGCATGGCCAAGCTGACGGTTCACGTGGAACAGGCCAACGAGTGTGCTCCCGCGATAACAGCTGTGACGTTAGCGCCCTCCGAGCTGGACAAGGACCCAACATATGCCATCGTCACTGTGGAGGACTGTGATCAGGGTGCCAACGGGGAGATAGCATCTTTAAGCATTGTGGCTGGCGACCTCCTGCAGCAGTTTAAAACAGTGAGGTCGTTCCCAGGGAGTAAAGCGTTCAAAGTCAAAGCCAGCGGGGGCATCGATTGGGACAGTCATCCTTACGGCTTCAATCTGACACTACAGGCTAAGGACAAAGGGACCCCTCCCCAGTTCTCCCCAGTGAAAGTCATCCATGTCGTTTCCCCACGGTTCAGAGCTGGGCCGGTAAAGTTTGAAATGGATGTTTACAGAGCCGAGATCAGTGAATTCGCTCCCCCACATACACCCGTGGTCCTCGTCAAAGCCATCCCTAGCTATTCCCATCTGAGGTATGTCTTTAAAAGTACGCCTGCAAAAGCGAAATTCAGTTTAAATCCCAACACGGGTCTCATTTCCATCTTAGAACCAATTAAAAGGCAGCAGCATACATCCCACTTTGAACTCGAAGTGACAACAAGTGACAGAAAAGCTTCCACCAAAGTCATGGTGAAAGTCGTAGGCACAAACAGCAACCCCCCTGAGTTTACACAGACCACATACAAAGCCTCCTTCGATGAGAACGCACCCGTCGGCACTACCGTGATGAGGGTCAGCGCGGTAGACCCCGATGAGGGCGAGAACGGCTACGTGACCTACAGTATAGCAAACCTGAATCACGTACCCTTCGTCATTGACCACTTCACCGGTGCTGTGAGTACTTCGGAGAACCTCGACTACGAACTGATGCCTCGAGTTTACACGCTAAGGATTCGGGCTTCCGACTGGGGCTTGCCATACCGCCGGGAAGTTGAGGTCCTCGCCACGATGACTCTGAATAATCTGAATGACAACACGCCCTTGTTTGAGAAGATAAACTGTGAAGGGACAATTCCCAGGGACCTAGGCGTCGGGGAGCAGATAACTACCGTTTCTGCTATCGATGCCGACGAGCTTCAGTTGGTGCGCTACCAGATCGAGGCTGGAAATGAGCTGGGTTTGTTTGACTTAAACCCCAGCTCTGGGGTACTGTCATTAAAACACTCGCTCTTGGAAGGCTTGGGCGCGAAGGTTTCTTTTCACAGTTTGAGAATTACAGCTACCGACGGAGAAAATTTTGCCACACCATTGTACATCAACCTAACGGTGGCCGCCAGTCGCAAGCCAGTCAACTTGCAGTGTGAAGAGACCGGCGTGGCCAAAATGCTGGCAGAGAAGCTTCTGCAGGCAAATAAACTACACAGCCAGGAGGAGGCGGAGGATATTTTCTTTGATTCGCACTCGGTCAACGCCCATGCCCCACAGTTTAGGAGTACTCTTCCGGCTGGAGTTGAGGTAAAGGAGAACCTCCCTGTGGGTGCCAACATAGTGTTCATGAACGCCACTGACCTGGACTCTGGCTTCAATGGAAAGCTTGTGTATGCCATCTCTGGAGGAAATGACGACAGTTGCTTTATTATTGACATGGAAACAGGCATGCTGAAAGTCTTGTCTCCACTTGACCGTGAAGTAACAGACAAATACACCCTGAATATTACCGTGTATGACCTTGGTATACCCCAGAGGGCCGCGTGGCGTCTTCTGGATGTCACGGTTCTGGACGCCAATGATAATCCGCCTGAGTTTTTACAGGAGAGCTACTTCGTCGAAGTGAGCGAAGACAAGGGGATAAATAGCGACATCATCCAGGTGGAAGCCACCGATCAAGATCTGGGCCCCAGTGGACATGTGAGGTACTCCATTCTCACGGACACAGATAAGTTTTCCATCGACAGCGCAACTGGCGTGGTGAAGATCATCCGGCCTTTGGATCGTGAGGTGCAGCCTGTGCATTACTTGAAGATTGAGGCCAGGGACCAAGCCACGGAAGAACCTCGGTTGTTTTCCACCGTGCTTCTGAAAGTGTCCCTAGAGGACGTTAATGACAACCCACCTAAGTTCATTCCGCCTAATTACTCTGTGAAAGTTCGAGAAGATTTGCCGGAAGGAACCATAATCATGTGGCTAGAAGCCTATGATCCTGACGTAGGTCAGTCCAGTCAGGTGAGATACAGTCTCCTGGACCACGGAGAAGGCCACTTTGACGTGGATAAACTCAGTGGAGCGGTTAGAATTGTCCAGCAGCTGGACTTTGAGAAGAAGCAAGTATATAACCTCACCGTAAGGGCCAAAGATAAAGGGAAGCCAGTGTCTCTGTCTTCCACGTGCTACGTGGAAGTTGAGGTCATTGACATGAATGAGAACTTGCACTCGCCAGTGTTTTCCAGCTTCGTGGAGAAGGGCGTCGTGAAAGAAGATGTCCCTATTGGCTCCTCAGTAATGACCGTGTCGGCTCACGATGAGGACACCGGGAGAGATGGAGAGATCCGCTATTCCATTAGAGATGGTTCTGGTGTTGGTGTCTTCAGGATAGATGAAGTAACAGGCAAGTACCATTATCGCTTTCGTTGGCTAGTCTTCCTCCTATCTCCTCGCGTCTCCGCTTCATAATTCCTAGTTGGTTTCTGTTAGGGCTCAGCATGGAAGTGCATAGATGTGTTTCTGTCCTTTCGGGCCCTGAAGATCTATGAGGAACTGAAGGATTAAATGTACATAAGAGGAGTAAAAGAAAATTGAAATCGTTACCACTGATACTGATCTCTTAAGTTTGTACTCTGTTATCAAGATCATCAAAATCATCATTGTGGTTTTGTAGTAACTTTGATGAGGATTCTGGTTAAGGTGTTACATGGTGTTAGGGTTGCATGCTGATACAGTAACATCAACACCATTTGGCATGCCATCGAGGGGGTGTTGCACACCTGCAAAATTATGCAATGTACCCAGACTTTTATGTGCGAAAGCTTCTTTAGCATCTGTTTCACTCCCTCCGGGATTTGAGAGGCCATTGTCAGGCAGGGGACTTTTGAACTGGGGAGACCTTGCTTGCGGCTGCCTCTTTCAGTCATGATCCTGGACACGTGAAACACTTCTTAAAGTTCTTTTTATTTATAAGATGAAGACATTCAGTTTCATTTATTTATTTATTTATTTATTGCTATACTTTTTTTAATGTTATGGGCATTGAACCTCGTAAATTCTGCATGCTAGGCCTGGCATATCATCAAGGCTTATGTGTGGAAGTAGTAAGGTAACATGTTGGATTTATTCATATTTCTTTTAGAAATGGTAGCAGTGTTTTTGCTACAATATGCTTTTTTTCCCAGAATACAGCTCTAAAACTGGAATCTCCAGGACAGCCAATTCTTGAGTATGTACTGGTTTTCTCTGGGTGCACAGATTCTGTACAAGTCAGTGTTCTAATGGGGTATGAGCTTTATAGGACAGGCATTTTCTATCACCAATGACTAGCCCAGAGTGCCCAGTGTGCAGAAACTGTCCAATAAACAGTACCATAATAAGTAGGTAAATCGATGAAGTCCTTAGCTCTGACTACCTTGCCCTCTCAGTGTGCCAAACAAAGGGAAACTAAATATTCTAGCACCAGTTGGGGTTAGGTGGGCCTCAGTTTACAGATCTATGTCATCGGAGACAGCACTTTAGTTTCCCGGCCAACCTGACCTGAATAATCACACAGAAACTATATTAATTATAACACTGCTTGACCTATGGCCTAGGCATATTCCTAGCTATCTCTTATATCTTAAATTAACCCATTTCTATTAATCTATATGTATCACCACCAGGCTGTGGCCTACCGGTAATGTTCCAGCATCTTTCTTCTGCAGCTGCATGGCGTCTTCCTGACTCTGCTTTCTTTCTCCCTGCATTCAGTTTAGTTTTCCCCGCCTCGCTCTATTCTGTCCTGCTATAGGCCAAAGCAGCTTCCTTATTAACCAATGGTAATAAAACATTCACAGCATTCAAAGGGGAATCCTATATCAGATCTATCTGTTTCAAAGGGACCTTTGTTGTATTAAAGACTGTTATGGTAAAGATTGGTATTATGGCTAATATCTTATGGGCCTTTGTTGATGTTTGTAGCCGTAATTCACCCTAGAACTTACGCTGCCATCTAAGGGTGCACAGCATGTGGAAATACAGGCTTTTTTTTAAATTATGTTTTCTATTAATTCAAGGGTTTTCCCTCTAATTGATTATATTTCACTAGCATCACTCGTGCAGACTTCTCAGGATTAGTTAGAGAGAGAGGAAAATGGCATAATCGATAGTGTTGGTAAACAGTTTTCTGAAAAACAGACTCATTGTTGGGTGTGTGCGTGTCCTGCTGTCCAATGGAAATTAGAATTTCTGGTCTGGTAATGATATGGAAAAACACTCATAATTTAAGGCTGAAATGAAGAATGGTTTTCCTGTAAATTTCCCACCCAGGAACAGTTATTCTTACCTCCTTTCTCTCTCTCTTTTTTTCTTCTTTCAACATAAATTTCAAAGCCTATAAGGAGCTGTTAGAAGTTAAAGTTGAGTCAGAAAATATAATTTGAGCCCTAATTTGCATTTTCTTCATCTCTTCGTGACTTACATTATGAACACTGCCTTTTGGCTTTTTTTTTTTTTTTTTGGTGAAAATAGCTTTTATTGCTGTTCTAAAGGACCACATAGAAACTGGTATTTTACACCTATAAGGGATGGAGTTGTCCCTGCTGTCAAATGGGGAGCAGGAGGAGACAGCTAGGCAAACAGGATGGCCTCCTGAAATAGGTCCATAGTAGCCTTGCAGCCGCAAGGAGGGGCCTGAGTTTTTCCAGTGATAATTTAGTGGTAATTTAGGGAAGGTCGGGGAGGCACAGGGATTCTGGGTAGTGAGGTTGGTTAGTGTGCGGGAGACTCTTACCTGTGTCTGTAGTGATATTTAAAAGTGTGAGAAAAGCCGGGACTTTCTAAGTCATTATTCAGTGCCTCTTGCTCTACAAAGGCGTATTCTCCCTGTGGGATAGATACGTGGTTATGCTTCTGAAGTCGTCTGAGTGACACACTAGTTAGACTTTTGGAGCACCGTATTTAAAGATGTAAGTTGGGTGGTAAAATTATCTGACCTAGTTATTCTGTAGATTTCTAGATAGGACAGTTGGTATTAAGTGTTTATTTTCTTCAGGAAAAATATGCATATTTTATGTGTAGAAATGCTGACAGTAAGGATATGGGGTAAAGTGCTTGAGATGTAAGCATGAGGCCTTGAGTTTGAATTCCCAGCATCCTTGTTAAAAAGCTGGGTGTGGAAGCTGAACAGTGGTGGCGCACGCCTTTAATCCCAGCACTTGGGAGGCAGAGGCAGGTGGATCTCTGTGAGTTTTAGGCCAGCCTGGTCTACCAGAGCTCATTCCAGGACTGACTTCAAAGTTACAGCAAAACCCTGTCTGGAAAAACAAAACAAAAAAACCCAACCAACCAAACAAACGAACTTCAGGGTGTGGGAGCCTTTGTCTGTAACCCTAGTCCTCAGGAGACGGATTCAGGTAGAGCGCTTTCTCTGGCCAGCCTAGCCAAGCGGCTGGACTCCAGGTTCAGTGAGAGACCCTGCACCCACTTAACAACTGGAGTTCAGTCCCTGGAACTCATGGTAGGAGAGTACTGACGCCTGTCCGTTGTCGTCTGACCTCCGTGTGGGTCCTGTAGCATGGTTTCTCTTCTCCCTCCAAAATAAATATATGTTAAAATAAGAAAATAAAGTAGAGAGAGATTGAGAAACACACCCAGTGGCTTCTACACGCACGCATACACATCTGCACTTGCACCTGCATTCGTGTGTACGGTCACGCGCACCGTAAACACATACACACAGCTAATATTAGCAAGCTGGTTTCTTTTTTAATTTGTCCAGTGTAGAAGTAGAAAAAGATTTCAGTCTACTGAAGAAAAGTAGGGGCAATTATGGAAGCCTGGGAACCTCACAGAAGACAGTCCCAAAATGCAAGTCAACTGGAGGCAGACTGGCCGAAGTCAGGCTAGCCCTTGGCTCCTGGCCCATTTCCGCCGCGTTTACTTCCTCTAACGATGGTGCATTTGATGTTGCGCTGAGTGATCAGGACCTATGCAGGGCCACCGTGCTGGTTAGTTTCTGTCACCTTGACACCAGCTAGAGCCACCTGGGATGAGGGACCTGCAATTGAAGATATGCCTCCATCTGATTGGCCTGTGAGTATATCTGTGGGACCATTTTCTGGACTGTTGATAGATGTGGGAGAGCCACACCCACTGTGGGTGTGGCCACCGCAGTGCCGGTGGTCCTGAGTTGTGGAAGAAAGCAGGCTTAGCCAGTCACAGGAAGCCAGCCCGGGCAGTGTTCCTACGTGGTCTCTCCCTCAGTTCCTCGCTCCAGGTTCCTGCTCCGACTTCCCTCAGTGATGGAGAGTGCCCCGGAAGTGGAAGATGCAGCAAATCCTATTGCTGAGTTGCCTTTGGTCAGTGCTGTATCACAGCGGCGGAGACAGTAAGTAGGACAGCTGGTTTTGGCTGCGGAGATGAAGATCCTGTCTACTTATCAGTCTGCTTCTTGCCTTTGGCGTTCAACTGCTCATGCTGCTTTAGTAACCGGACCAGATTTTTGTGGTGGCTTAACCATTTCAAAACCACCAAGTATGCATATCTTTATGTACTTCTCACAGGCCAGAGAAGAGTGTCGCTGCCTGTCTTGAATTTTTGCTCTGTTTAAGATTCCTCTCTCTTTATCTGCTTCAGTTTCAAACACCCACAAAGACAGTAATTAAAAAAAAAAAAAAAATTCTATGGTCTACCTAAAGTGTGTTCCCACATACACAATCCTATTAGCTGTGAGTTTCATACATATTTTGCTAATTGCTTTGCAGGGAGGTAATCTGTAGTTGCAGCGTGGGGGGTGACAGCCATGTGTCTGTCTGTTCTCCTTGTAGGTTTTTCTAAGCAGCTTCTGGGGCTCAGCTACTCTCAGGGATCCTCATCTTCATGACCACTCTTGCCCCCTGAGGTTTGCAAGGGCAGAGCCTTGCGTGGAAAAGCTACTTGGAAAGCCAGTCCTCTCCAAAGTGCCAATTTGCAGAGCTCTAATTACGGCTTTGGAAACCAGCGAAGGGACTGGGAAAGTGGCAAGTAGGGAAAGTCTGTTGTGCCACTTAGACTTGAGTTTGCATCCCCAGCACCCAGGCAGGTCAGTCCAATCAGGGCGGGGCTGGCTCCTAGCCCAGGGCCAGGGTGGGGCAGAGGTGGCAGCGCCTTGCAACTCACTGGAACTCACATGGTAGACGGAGAGAACAGAGTCCTGTAAGGTGTCCTTCGACCTCCTCCATGTGGGTACTCCAGGATGGTCCTCTTCTCCCCCGACCAAATAAATAGATGTTTAAAAAAAAAGAGGTCGATTGAGGACCACACCCAATGGCCTCCTACACATGCTTGTACATACACATCTGCATATGTATGTGCCTGTGTTCACAGGGATCAGGGTGAAGAGGAGTGAGGAAAAACTTGACTCGAGCTCCTAGTGCACCAGCA